TCCCATTATATGACACATTATAATTCCATGTGATTGAAGACCATCAATTTGAGCTCTATCTGTCTCGGATATTTTACGATAATCGGAGTGTAGATGCACAAACTTTGTTGGGGTTAATTCATGATTACGAGCCTCTTCAAAAATTGACACTACATATTTTCCTTTTTTGTTATTGTAGTGCACATGGAGCCTAGCTTCGCAACTAGTACGTGTCGTCTGTCGGTGTTTTGTTTTCCTATTTACCCTATATGCACGTTTTTGGTCTCTTAATATGTGTTTGTTACATACATACTACATCATTACTACTATTTCACTACCTTCAGACCCTCTCGCCTAACATCACTTTTCCTAATGGCAAAACATTTACATTTTTCATACCTATAATAAAATTCATAAGCTTCACTCACAATTCCAAATTCCAAAGTACGAATTTTATCGGAAGTAATCAAAGTTACACTCACTACTCTATCACCTACAATTGCATCACTATTTGTCACTTTCGGTCCAACTGATTCCTCATCATCGTCATTATCAGATTCATCTTTATCATTTGAACTTTGATGGCCACTGGAACCAACATAATTAACATCTTCATCACGACTACATTCAGCATCAGATGAATCACTGTTACGAACATTGTTCAAATCAATCCCAACAGAGTCGGCATAGTTGTCCATCTGAAATCGGCTGATATATAACACAAAAAATAATAATCATCAATGATAAAACCTATTTCCCAAATTAAAATGCAATCTTAACCTACATATTGACTAACTAACATAATGACTATCCTTTATTTTGAAATCCAAGTGCAGACAATGACATCAATCATATAACCAAAATCTCAATTTGAGATGACTTTTTTCCAAATTAATTAACAACTACCATATTTAAAATCAGAAACATTAAATTTGAAATACAATTTCAGATTACAACATTAATCACAAAACCTAATTTCTAAATTGAAATCATTAAATATTAAACTCAATTACAGTGGCAAATCGGGTATCAATACGAACTATGTGAGGAGCGCGAATGAATGAGATAACGTTGAACAGTGTTGCAGGGAGAAAACTCATGATTGCGAAAGAATAAGATGAAACGTGTATTCATTAGTGGTCGTTTTACGATTACTTTGGATGGAGATGAATATGGATAGTAAAGAAGATGAAGTTGCAGAAGATGAAGTTGTGTTCGTTAAATTGGTTGGGAAAGAAAATGAATTGAAATAAATGAAGTTATTTAGTAGTTGAATTAATTTTGATTTTGTTAAAATATCTAATTTAAAGTTAAAATTAATTATATCGAACGAATAATGAATGAGACTTAGTTGTAAATATGTTGGGACTTAATTACAATATTAACAATTATGAAGTTATATTATAAGTTGGATGTGTGGCATACTAGGATTTCAAGAACTTTGTAATTGGCTAAAATTGTGACTTTTTCAAAAAAAGTCAAAATGACAACTTCATAGAATTTTCCATGAAATATTTGGTGTTACATACTGCACACATACAAATGAAGATTCTATTAAATAAACAATTCCATCACACACAATATGAAGTATTGGTGTTTACATACTGCACCCATACAAATGAAGATTCTATTCAATAAACAAGAAAAAACAATACAACACTTAACATGATACCACGATAACAATTTTACAAAAAAACCAAACATTGCATTAAGAAAACACATCAAGCATTCTTATTTTTAACTTCAGAAGAAAATGACTTGAACCAAGGTATCCACACAGAAGTTGTCTTCTGGTAAAGCCTAAACGCCTCTGCTCTACTCTCTTGTTTCAACATCTTATCCTCCACAAGCCTAGTAACATAAGCCAAACACAATGTATTAACAAAAGCTCCAACAAATGTCCACCCATGTCCTAGGCTCCATGCAAACACAACCAGTCCCCACCACCATAACGTCTCACCGAAGTAATTTGGATGCCGACAGTAATACCATAAGCCATTTTCAAGTACAGGAACTACAGGCTTACCAAGCCCTTTTAGCTTGTTGTTTCTACTCATAAAGTCGTGGAGCTGTGTATCAGCAAAGTACGCTATAACAACGCCGCTTAAACAAACAAGAATGGCCACCAAATCCAAGATACTCAAAGGCTTATTCACAAAGTGTACAACATATAAAGGAAGTGACAGTCCAATCAAAAACATCTGCAAAATATATAAACTCAATGTCGTTATAGTCCATACGAATACCAACCGAGGGGCGAAATTGATTAACATTTTGCAATTTCACCGATCAACTTGTAATATGATTAATGCGAGAGATTGGCTTAATACATTTCTACAGTCTCGGCAGAGCCATCTTTGAAGGTGTGCAAGGCGGCCAATAGCACATGGCCTCACACTTTTTCATGATTAAGCTATGACAAAAAGAGCTTTCATACACATATTCCACCCTTGATTTATGGATTAAATAGGGTCGCTTAAAATAAATTACGACTCAAGTGAAGCTAACTTCAGCTTCTTACACAAAACCTCTCAAAAAGTTTGAGACCCCTTGGAGTCTCAAGGACCAAATTAAGTAGTTACTCCAAAGTTAAACCAAACAGAAAATTCATCAAACAGGTTAAAGGCATTCAATCAAACCGAAAAACCAACCTGCTGTGAGACATAAACAGCAAAGAATGAAATCCACCACCAATGTTTTCCATACTGTTGACTCATCTCAGTGAAACGCCAATCCTCTCTAGCACCCCATTGCCACTTTTCACGTCTGAAGTAATTATGAGTGAGCCTAATACTCCAAACCCATGTCAAAAAAATCACAACTTTCGACCTCCACCAATCATATTGAGCCAAAGGGTGAGTTGCATAGTAATGAACAAGCATCACAGGAATCACAGTCCAATATGGATCAATCATCTGCATCATCACTAACAATAAAAATGTCAACTTTATACATACCCATGAACCAGAATTTGAAAATTGAATAGTTAAATCAACTTGGTCATTTAAATTAGTAAAATTTTGAATGATGAATTGGGTTCGTGTTTACCCAGTGACTAGATTGGATTTGACCAATGAGCCAGAAGATGAGATTGACGTTGAGGAAGAAGAGAGCGTTGGCGAAGAGAAGAGGGTGGTGATAGCACCATGTCCATAGAGATGAGGAAAAAGAAGGGTTGTTTGGATTGGTGATTGATGAGTGACAGTTGTTGAGGAAGGTGAGGTAGAAGATGATGGAAGGAAGAGGAACCAAGAATGCTATGGTAGCATTCTTGAAATTTTGATTAGTAGCCATTGTTGATTCTGTGTTTTTGTGAATAAATGAGTTTTGATTTTATAGGTGAACATAAATTGAACTAAGCTGAGAAATTTCAATATTCAAATGTTAATATTTTTTATAATATTTATTTTATTTATTTATTTTGGTACTCTGGTTCCTAAGAGAATAAGACTCTAATAGTCTAGAGTTCGTGTCGAGAGGTTATCACACTGGTCAAAGAACTTTCGTTTTTTAATAAGATCTTGTTTACCACTCGAGCTCATGCGCTTTGTTTTATTATTTTTTTATAAATAGAATATCCTCTCACGTAACTGCATAGACTAATTCTCTAGTCGGGAAGAATTATAATAGGCGGCAAAACTCTCTCTCAAAAAAATTTAATATTGCTGCATGCTTAGAATTGAGTTCAAATCTTAGACATTTGGTTAAACAGTAAGAGGCCATTACTATTGGGTAGTACAAGTGATTAATTAGCACAATGCACTTTCTGCTTGTGGCTTCCCACATAAAAGCTATGCTCACCTAGTGACATGATTAGCTAAATAATCCATTATCTCATACTATGATTAGGTGATATTCTGTGCCCACAACTAAGTTATTCAAATACATTTAATTTCAACAAAACAATGAAGTTGCATCATATTGATTTTGGTCCAAAGTACATGAAAAGTTGAGCATGTTAAAGTAAGATCACAACCAAATATGTTATAAAGTTTTACAGATGCATCTCATAAAAAAGACTACAATAATGCTTGGCATTGTTGTCATGATGTTTGCAGGTTATATTGTTGTGCCCCGAATCATATATTAGAAACCTCTCACATGAAAGCTTTATCATATAAGCTTGATCCTAAACTTGGTCCCCTCCCCCCTCCTATTTGAAGGGTAACCTGTCCTAAACCCTCTCAATATGCGCAGAAAGTAGGAAAATGAAAGAATACACACAAAAAGGCCAAGGCCGTGTCAGTATTTATTAGTATTAATCTGCATGCCAGCAAGCATGTTGAATGAGTGGCCTTTATGCAGCTACTTTGTGTAAAGCAAGTTTACCATTGATAAAGAATGCAAGATATGGTTTTTGAATATTGTACATTGTAGATAGCACAAGTTCTTAGGTCTTAAATCCAAAGCCGCCTTTAAAGATGTGCAAAACAGATTACCGCACAAGACCCAAAATTTTCAAGATTACACAGTAGTTAAATAAAGCCTCGTAAAATAAGTTCGCAATTAAATCACACTTAAATATGGTATGTATCTGTTGTCATGGCCTCCAAAACTGAGACGACTCTCCAAAAATTTGAGACAACTCTGCTTATAGTCTATTTTTCCTTTGTGTAAACAATCATGCACACCTACAGGCATATTTTCACTTACATCTATGTTTATTCTCTTCTATAAAAGTCAAGTGACCATGTTATATTTGCTTATAATGAGTCTAAATGTGACAGTTTATGATTAAATAACAGCTGAAAAAATTCAGAAGTATATCAAAGTAATAATTCATAATTGAAAAAGGTATCACATTTGACATCAACATCCCCAAAATTAGACACCACAGAAATGTATAGCATTTATAAAAATGTATCTAGATGGTTCACAAGGACCAACATAATTGCAGAAGGCATCAAAAGCTCCCTAAACGTCGCTCTGTACAAGAAAGACATCTCATTATGGAAGTTCAACACACTCGCAAAACAACGGCTTTTAGATCAGGAAGGCTGAGTTATATCCAGATTCCAGAATCACCAATTGTCTTGCTCATCATCACCAGGTTGATTACCATCAGGTCCACCCTCCTCGTAATTAACCCACGGAAGCATTGATTCAAAATAGACGGCTAATGCGTTTCTATTTGCAACACCACGAGGAGCATGGACATTGCCCTGCTGAATAGCAATTTGATTTCCATCCAGCATAAATTGTTGCAGATTTTCTTGTGGAATTGCTGCTACTGAATCAGAGAAATCGGACACTAACAAATGTCCATACCTAACAAACAAAAGATTGTAAATTGAATTGCCATGTGTACTTATTCATAATTTGCACCAAAATTTGAAGATTATAAATTCATATGCATCTATAAACTTTGCCGAAGACAGTTTGCAAAACAGCATAGTTAAATGTTGATGCTTTTTCAGGCTCAGATAAAGATTCACTTATACAAAAGAATGCCACAAAACATGAATTTTTTTTAGCTTAAGACAAAAACAGATCACTTACTCATTTTTCTCAGATGAAAATGCTTCTTTTCTGACACAAGACCAATCATTAACTTCACTTTTATTACTTTCCAGGGTTTCAACGACTTGTTTTGCAGCACCAATTAGAAGTCTTTGCAGATCAGGAAGCCTCCAAATAAGATAATTTCTCTCAACGTATATATTAATCAAGTGATCTTGAGATGGAATTCCTGTTTGCTCTGATTTGAAAAAGGCATGCTTGAGAATCTCTGTCCACGTACGATCTTTCAACGGTACTTTTGTTACTAGCTTCTTTATAACTGAAGGATGAAGCATCAATGCTTGTGTCATAAGATCAGATGAAGAAGACTTTTTAGAATCAACACAAGCATCTTCGGATGCCTCACGCTCAAGGTAAAACCGACAAATGGCAAGGGAAAAAGAGAAATTTGGAAGCAACCATATGGAGGTGTCACTTTTATAAGCTTCCGAAAACTTTTCCAACCATGCATACTCGTCAGACCTTAGAGCAAAGTAATCAATGCAAAAAATAGCCCCCATGGGATCATCAGAATCTAGTGAAAGCAACAATTTGCAGACCTCTAGAGCCGATCTATGACAGCCGCGTCGATCCAAGTTTTTCATGTGGGTGAAAAGAGCTGTAAATATAGGTTTGTTTGCATCGTGTTTGTACTTCAATTGGCAATTACCCTGCAGTGGTGTGAACATGGGATGCCATGCACATTCAAGGGCGTATAGACACCTGGCAATAGTATCTGCAGACATCTGTTGTTCTCCAACTACCTTGAAATATTCTGCCATTGTTAGAAGTGAATCTATATGATAGGGCCGGTGTTGTAATATGCTCGCTATACCATTTATGTCGTTAATTGCTTTGGCAGCTTCAAACGATTTCTGATAATGGGAATAGGACGGCGAGTGAACATATCTACAAAGTAAAAGGGTGGTTGAAGTGTGGTTACAAGGGATTCAAAAAGATGCAACTCTTGTTATAATTTATGATTCTCATATCTAAAAATATCTTAAACTACAAAGATTAAAATAGGGAATCAGAACACAAAATACAAAACATATATTCAATTACCAACATCATAAGTAAAGCACATAATGATCGACCAGATAGATTGAAAACCCTATCTCCACAATCTCATTCTAGTTAACCCTAAATCTCAAAAGTCGAAACTAATTGAACTCAATTGTGCATGCCCTTCATGCAGTCCAATCGTGGATTGGAAATTTTTACGAAGTAGATCAAGTTTACTAAAAATTCATACCGGCATAAACTAATTGATATTTCATCACACTACTTTTTTTATGCATAATATGCTATTTAAAGTATAAATAGATATCCAGCCATAGATATCATATCTATGTGTGTCTAAATTATTTAAAACCTCGTTTACATTATCATGAAGATAATATCACATGATTCAGCATTTGGAATATCTTACTATTTTACACAAGAATTTAATTTGTAAGCACTAAACACCAACAATGTAAAACTTTTTTATACTATACATACATACAATCAAATCACACCGCATAAATATTTGTGGAGATCTTAAAAGTTAAGAGTTCCAATCATTGCACGTGTCAACTACAAATATTTGTGGAGAGATATCATAGATTTGAATACTAAGGACAACTACAAATATTATGTCAATGCACGTGTCAAATTGATCTAAAATTAGGTTTGTTTGATGATTGAGATAATATCACAATATTTTACAATGTTTGATCATGAATTAATGTCTACAGTTAGTTATTCAACAATGTAACTATTATAAGAGTTACGGCTAAAGTAAATCCCATCTACATGTGTATATGGCAAAATGGAAGGGGGCAGATATAATAATATAATCAATATTTGGGCCAAAGTAGGTGATTTCCCATGTTATATATCTAGTTTAAATCTCCCCCTTTTTCATCTATCGACTCCTCTTGACTCAGGCTCAGCCATTAGGTTACTTTTTTATACTCCAATGTCTTAAATTGCGACATTTTGTTTGTTCAAAGTTCTTTGTAAGGTTTATCTTTATGCATGTTCTATGTTTGATTCTTCCCATCAAAGGTCACAACAACATCTATTGTGTGTGCTCATTTCTATAGCATATGCATGTTTATGACTTGCCAATAGAACACATCTCACTTTTGAAGATAGGATACTACAACAACGTTCTTAGCCTTACATATAAAACTAGACAGACATGCATCCAGAGAGGGGAATTATAATAATAAACAAAGCACAAAATATTATCAATCAACACATTAAAAATGATAGCAAGCATCTTACCTAAAGTAGTTATATCCGTTCTTTATTTCAAGAAATTGCATGGACAAAGAATCATCACATGGGAGCCAAGTGTTTGCTGGAGTGACAAGAACAGTCTTCTTAAGATTATGGCGTACTCGCCTCACCCCTCTCATCTGCCTAGAACTGCTTGGTTGATTGTTGGTATTCTCAAAGGATTTCACAACCTTAGATCCAAATATTCTTATCAGCTCATTTTCAGCACTCAAATGTTTAGGATCGACCTGTAATATGGAGACAGCATCCTGCTTAACAGATTTACTTTTGTCCTTAGCATTCACCGCTTTTCCTTCAGTCAACACATGTTGCTCATTGGAAGAGTTTGCATTCAGAGCTAAATCTTCTAAAATCAAGTCTAATTCTTTTTCACTTCCCCTTTTACCGGAAACAGCATTGTCCTTGCTTTTCTTCTTCTTGTTCTTCTTTTTCTTTGATTTTGCATTCGATGTTGAAACTTGAGTAGAATCTTTCAACGAGGATGTCCCCACCTTATCATCTTCTCTCACCGATGTTTCATCGGCAGACTCATCTCCCTGCAATCAATACAATCAAATTAAGATAAGTAATAAGCACATTTAAAAAAGGTTCGTTACCTTGAAAACTGCCACGACAAAACGGTATCAGCACCTGCCACGACAAAACGGTATTGTAAGATGCCAATACCGTTATTCACCGTTTTTATGATGAAAAAGAAATTGTAGTTAATTCACACCACGGCGACCACGATCATTATTTCAACACCTATACCAACCGAAATCGCAAAAGCCTTTATGTGACCGCAAACGTTATTTAAAGTCTGGGTTCCACCTTTCTATTGTAAGGGAAAAAATCCAATAATATGTCTTATTTCTTAAGCTATGAAATACCAACATTTCAGACATAGGGTGTGTCTAGTGTCTAAAATGTCTCAAAGTCAGACAATAACACAACACCGACACATGTATCAACTCATTTTCTCAGATTATTATTGGTGTCTACGTGTTGTTATCAATGTTGTGTCTCGTAAATAGCACCGACACCAATACCACTGTAAAAAGTTATGTCCATGTGCGTGTCCTAAACCAACACAACATTGGTAATTACCTTTAATTTATTCATTTTTTCAAATTATTACCAATATCGACACATGTCGGTGTCATTGTCATGTTTCCGATGTCCTTGCTTCATAGCTCTTATGTCTTAAGCTAAAGACACCATAGAAATTTTTTAACACAATATCATTCTCTATAATACTGAACGGTAATGACATTTTGTAAACACCATAACTTGAACATGAATAAAAATTCATAGAGATTCATCACTAATGAGTAGTTTGTTTCTGACCTATATTCCCCATTACAAACGCCAAGTTAGAATTTTTAGCTAACCCAATTCACTTTCACCTTAGAAAAACGAAACCCACTTGGAAAATCAAAAAGGGGTAAATAATGTTGCAAGAATTAGAGCTTCAATCGAAAAGAAAAGAAAAAAAAGGTTGAATTTTTAGAACCTGTTGTTCGTGTTCAGAATCGTTGTCGTTGAGAAGATCGAAGGGGTTAATTGTGGAAGGTGCAGTGGAGCATTCTTCTTCTTCATTTTCTTCTTCTTGTTCTTCGATGAGTTGATGAGGAAAGTGGTGTTGTTGCTCGTTCAAAATCCTCTTCATCAATCGAGCCGACATCGTTTTGTGAATTCGAACTGAATGATTTTCAGCGTGTGGTGTAGAAGAATTTAGGTGCGTGAGAAAGAAGAAGAAAATTAGGTTGTTTGAAATTCAATCGTAGAAGGGAAAGGAACGAAGAAGAAAGTTTAACGAAGAAGAAGAAGGAAGATGAAGCAGCGTTCTCATCTGGATGGAAGTGGGCTCACGGCTCTCAATGCGGCCCAATTGATGATTTCTGTTCATTTGGGCCTTACGGGGCTTTTCTTCTCTTGCATTATCAAGGGAATTGATTATTTGAAGAATTAACATGCTATCCCCTTCTTATACATCACATTTCTCAAAACGTATGAAAAGACAAGATTGTTCAGATTTAAATATTTTTAAAAATTTTCAAATTTTCGTATTTAACTGGATTTTTTAAATCTATGTGGTGATATCGGAAATATCGAGGCGACTAACGGAAATTTGGTGAAACAATAAGGAATTTGCAATGTTTTTGCGAAATATCTGGTACTTCGCACCTGAAATTTCAAAAATCTAGTATTTTCGTACTGGAAATTTTAAAATTTCTGGTGGAAACATTTTCCTTCCACACCGGAGATTTCAAAATTTCTGGTATCCTGTAAGATACTGGAAATTTTGAAATTTCCGGTATTTCATATTTTTTTGAAAAATGCCAAAAATTTAAAAATTTCCGGTAGTTTATGTATTTTTAATTTTTTTTCTTATTTTAGCAGTGAGGACTAGGGGCAAGGACGGTATCGTTGCGGGCAGACAGATTAATAGAGCGGAGGCCCAGGCCGGGGCTGATGAGGGACAGACTTTTGAGTTACGGGATGGTCGACGTCCACCGACCGGTTCTCACCAGAAATGGTTGGCTGAGCAGTAGGCACAGTTTCACGCACCCCGCCGTTAGGGCTCAAGACTTTCTACTGCTGAGGAGCCAGCTCCTGCGGAGGTACATGCTTATGTTCCTGTCGTTGAGCCGGCAGCTACGGAGGTTGTTGAGAAGGTACATGAGCATGTTGTTGTTGTGGAGTCGGTTGGTGAACAGGTTATGGAGCAGGTTGGTGAGCATGTTATTGAGCAGGCATAGCACATAGACGATGTGACCCCGATTGATACGGGCACCACAACATGTACGTCTACGGAACCATCAAATGAAATTTCTGATACTGACACGTAAATTTGAAATTTTCTATTTACCAGAAATTTCAAATGAACCACCGGAAATTTACTCTTACCGAAAATTTGATAGAGGTGTACTGGAAATTTCATATGTACCGAAAATTTCAACCTTTCTACCAAAAATTTCTTTGTATCTCATTAAGGGAAAAATTGGAATAAAAAAATTGGGGGTGACATGTCTAATTTTGGGGGTGGCATGTTAATTTCTCTGATTATTACACCTTGTACCATTACTTACACACTCTAGCGAAAATTCAAAAATACTTCATTTGCACCATTTAAATTTTAAAATTCGGACGCACCAATATCAGAACCACGCTAAAGGAAAGTAAAGAATATGTCTGAATTACAAAATTTAGATACACCATATTGATATTGAAATCTAGACAATGCTATTTAAGTTGTGCGAGCAGTCTTTCATTTTCCCTTCCCTTATATTTCAAATAAAAAAAATCTCACAAATTTGCGTCTAATTTTTTCCCAACCTTTTCTATCAATATCTACTCATGTTCATTCAAACCAAACAACTTCGTCAACTTATACTCCTATCCATTCAAGAAAATGATTCATTCTTGTCTTTTCTGCTTTCTCTACTTTTGATGCATACAATGCAATTCTTTAAATAATTCTAGTTAAGATCCATTGGGATGTAATAGAAATTTCTTAAGTTTCACTAGGTTAAATAATTCATTTGAATCTTTAGGCATTAAGGTTGTAGCGTGATTGTTGGTATCTCTCAATGATACAAGAAAGTATGGATTTTCGGATATCAAAATCTAATACAGATTACAAAATCCATATTTTTATGCTTGGTATTCTTTTTTTCTCGTTGTTTGTGTTTGCTAATGATATGAATTATCTCGACTGATTATAAACAAATGGTTGACTAACAACGAAGATACAAACATGGTCGGCTGACTCAATATGCTTTAGTACGTAGAGTGAGCTAAATTATTGTGAGTTGTTGGAGAATCATCTCGAACTATTTAGGGATCGTTTTCTCGTGGTCATGTATCTATGAATCATGACGAAGCATTGGTTGCTCCCTATTATAGCTGGGATTTTCGACAAGACCTCAAATTCCAGCTAAGATAACAGGAAGATGAAGGAACCTTGGACAAAGTTTTTGGGTAATGTGTTAGAGTTTGGTCGGTGCTCATGTGGGTGACATTTTGATAAATAGACAACGAACTAGTTTTCGAACGTTGGCCTGAAGAGGGAGTTGTGGACTTAGGAATTTTTTCCAGATGACAAGTACAGATATTTCGACCAAAGCAGTTGTTTCGACCAAGGAAGTTAGAGTACACAAATGTGGTTGTATAACCACCTTTTGACCTTATCCACATTAGAGGGACGTGTGGAAGTGGTTTACCAAGCAAGAAGACATGCAACGAAAAACGTGGCATTCAGGGGAGAAAAGCCTGTCTTTAGCAGTTATTTATACGTTATTATAAATAATAGTTTTTATGATATAACTAGGGGTGTCAAATTTACTATTAAACTCACACAAAACTCAGAGTAGCTAACAAAGAGAGAAATGAGTCTCAAAAGTGCAATGTATGTTTGATCACCAAATTTCCATTTATGTAAAGCTTTACTTTCAGTTTTACTTTACATTTTTGTACTTTTTGTGCTAGAACCCTTTACTTTTCCAGTCAAAAGTTTACTTTACCTGCTTTCATTTCCAGAACATGATCTTGACCACTGTCAAAATCACTTACACTATTACTATTTTTACATTATTTGAAAAACTTCACGCACATTGTTCTAAGATTCCCTAGTCGATCTCGCAAAGTAACCTTTAACAAGAGACTGACGTTGTTTACCAAATTTTAGGGTAAAAAAATTGGCACGCTCAGGGGGAGCTTGTGCTAATATTTTCAAATAAATTGTTAAACTCATCGTGTTTTCGTTGTGTATGGTTTATTTTGCATAACATAATACTAATGTGTGTTCATGCATGAGCTTGAGGAGTGGGAAACAACTGTCTAAAATGTCACGATCTAGCACAGACAATAACATTTCTAATCCTACATAGAATAGTGCTTACAATGTTGATGTCATACTCGTTGGTACAAAAACTCAAAACGCGAAAGTTTTATCCCATGTTAGGATATCTTCCGTTACTAGCTCACAACAACAGTTCCATTGATGCTTGTGCAATGGGCTATGCCTTCACCATAACATGGAGGCTTACCTTTTAACCATTCAAGGGAACTCTTTCAATTAGGATCAATTCCACCTTCAAGGTATTATCAATACAGCATGCCACAGTCGATGATGGTTGGCCTTCAGTCAAATATGTCAATATATGCTGATGATATGATGGCTATCGGGCCATCTTTTAAACATCAGAGTGCCTCTGATGCGACCTATAATACTAGTGGTCGTCTAGGAGGGATAAGATACATGCCTCAAATAACATATTCACTAAATATGACTTCTGTGACGGCTTTGAGACATCAGATGGATGAAAGTAATCTCGAGTTGGTAAGCAATTTTGCCCAACAAATAGGTATTATCGAATCCTTCTGTTTCCCTCAGGTTTATCCTTAACCATTACCCTAAATATCAAATGTAAGGCAGGTCGACACGCCTGATGATGGGGTAGCCCCAATAAATCAGGGATAGCCTGCAAGGTTTCAACCACAAGAGCCTACTTTTAACATGGAGGATGAGGAATACATAGAACAACATAACCCTAGACCAGTGATAGTACAGAGGAATCATGATGTTGATAACATCTTGAGAAATATCCATCAGAACTATCTTGGATCATAAAACGTCTCAATATGTTCTTTTCAGGGATCTGGTGCAGAAATTATTGAAGGAGGGAAGGCTTCAATTTGGAAAAAAAGCCAAAGGCATCAATGCAAGTTGATGTTGATCCTTTTTAAGTTGGAGACACCAATTTTGTAGAACCTGTTGAAATCATGACGGTGGAGGTTATTGACGATCTTAAGATGAATGTGGAGACACACGAACAAGAGGAAGAACTATCTAAAAAATGGTGGCTGATATTTTCAAGTAGTTTTACAAGGCAGAATTTTGTGATAAACAAGAATTCAAATCCATGCTAGGCTGCACAATCTTTGCTTTGTAGGCCTCAAACTTGCTTGGAACTCCATAATTAAATGTTTGTACAGCTGTAAGAAACTTCAACTCAAGCATTCAATGCATTTCCCATGCTTATTTCCATTTTGGGAAGAAAGTGCACATTGTCATTTTGGAAAAGTAGCTTTATGCACAAAATCAATTCTTGAGCTTTGCACTTGTTTTCTTCTGATCATACACAACCTATAACCCAAAAGAAACTTGTCTAAAGCCTCTTGGAACTCAGGCCATACTTGTACTATGCCTTGAAACCATATTCCCACTTTTCTTCAAAATTAAGTAACATCGCCATAAGTCTATAGCTTGCACTTCTGACCCTCTCAAGTGCTAGAACCTTTTCCTTACTTATGCACAAGTTGTTTGCATCAAAGCACACGAATACACAAGCTCCAAAACTCACAAAAACTCAGAACTGCATCTCACACTTCCATTGTTGCATATTCTTGCCAGAAATCCCAAAATCAAAAACTACTCATGCGTTTCTTAGCCTTTTGCTTCCAAAAGCTTCCAAACATCATACATAAGCCATCCATATCCATGTTACACGACTGTAACACCATCTTCATCCATTTCCAAGTTCAAAAACAGAGCATCATAATTGGACTTCTCTAGAACTCCTCAACCACTTTCAGCTCAAGCCAAGCATCATATTAGCTTTCTGGGAACTTAAGGAAGCTAACCCAATCACTGGAACTCATCAAAAGCTGCTCAAACTC